GAAAATTATGTTGATTTGCATTTATTATACATGAGGACAAAAATTTATTTTTATATAATTTGATTTATCCTGCTTATAACATAAGCAAACCATAATTTCTCAAACAATAAATTAAAAATAAAAAAAAACCTCAATACAGGATATTTTTTGTAATTATTATAAAGTTTTTTTTATTCATTTACTTTTTGTTTTTTAGAGACATTAAAGGCTATTTTGGGCTCAAAAACAAGTTTGTAAAGATTATAAGGTGTTTTTAAGTGTTTTCCGGTGAAATCAAGTTGAAAACGATTTTCTAGGTTTCCAAAACTTGAATTCTATTTTTTTTATTACTAAAGAACAAACACGAAGAAGGACCTATCATCCACGTTTAAAAAAAAAGAAGAAAAGAAGAAGAAAAGAACTTGAGTGGATGATGGGTCGACATCCACTCCTTGAAAACATTTTTTCTAGGGTTGTCTAGGTTTTTGGGTTTTTGGCCAATTATAGTAACGTTTGACTTTTTTTTTTAATTAGTCTTTTTAAATTTAATTAATACTTATCCTTTTTTTTTAACAATTTTTCAATTTATATTATAATTAACACCCTACCTCTTATTTTTAAATTTTTTAGTTTACCTTTTTAGATAATATTTATTTTATTTATTTTGTAATGCTTCATAAATATTGTTGTAATTTATCTTGAAATTATGGGATAATTATAAAACATCTCTTATAACTTGATCATGTTTCACCTTCTCTCTATACCTTTTTAAATTACACTTTAATATCATGAGTCAACCTAAAATTTAAAATTAAATAAAATAATCAAATTACCCTCATATATAATATAACACAAACACCATAAATAGTTTACCCTGTTCTTCTACACTAGCCACCACCTCTTCTCTATTTTTCTCTCTATCTTCGACCACCACTATATAAGCTTCATAATGGTATCCAGTTAAGCCTTTATAACTTGACGCATCCATGATCCCTCACCAACCACCATCAATCCCAAGCCCCATCGCAACCCACCCATTCATTGGCTTTGTCATATTGGAAACCCTAGAATATTTCTAAGCCACCAATTTCATATCTGTCGACCTATTTTTCAAAGCAATTACAAGGCTAAACGGGTCGGGCAAGCCTCTATAAATATTTTAGGTATAATTAATTTGTAAAAAGTTAAGTTTGGTGAAGAATTGCAAATCGGTTTGCTAAATTAAGGGTTTAGAATTTTTGGGTTTGGTAAAGAATTGCTAAATTAAGGGTATGTTCCCTGGTGTTCAAATTGAACGGGTCTAATTTTTTTTTGTTTGTTTCTATATTGAATATAATGATGCAAAGAATGATTTGAATGAAGATGATTAATTGAGAAGATACAAAATGAATTAAATAGTTATTGTAGTTTTAAAAACTAATTAACTAGTTCTTGTATTTTTAAATCTATTTGTGACTTAGTTAATCCTTTTAATCGATTTCATATTCTTTTCCCATTTATTTTATTTTATTAGAAAATAAAAAAAATAATATACAAAGAAATAAATAATATGAAAAGGCATAACTAACAGTGGTTAATTAAGGGATTAATTTTTTAATTTTTTAAACAAGAAGAACTATTTAATTTATTTTATAAGACAAGAAGAATTAATTTATAATGTACTTAATTGGAGGAATTGAAATTTTTTTCATTGAAAGGAGAATAAATATATTTTATTTAAACTATTATAATAATTTGAATTATTTTCTCCTGGAATGTTATTTCCGTTGAAGATCAGTTATACTAAAGCATCTTCACTATTAGATCCGATCATCCATTAATTAAAGTTAGTAATGAAACATGTAGTTTCGAATGCTAAATTTTCCTTAATTTTTCCTTTATTTCAATTAAAAAAATAGATAATTGTTCACCAAAATGTATCAATTTTAATAAATAATAATAATAATAATAAAAATACGCCTTAATTACTTTGACATCTCCCTCATTGAGATTCCAGTTACATTTTTTCTAAAATTCCCATTCCATTTATTTGATAATCAAGCGTATTATATTAATCTGAAATGTGGCGGTGAATTGAAAAGAAAATAAATGATTCTTAATTTCATTTAACTGAAAAAAAAATCTGATACATATAATATCACCATGAGAGGATCATACAACATCAAGATAAAGTGCGTTTCACGTAGCTTTGTTTTCTTTTCTTTTCTATTGATTTGGACCGTTGGGGATTAATTAGGGTTTGATGTGCAGCGTCTTGCCTTTCTTATTTCTTTCTTTCTTTGTTTTTTTAATAGCAAATATATAATATTTCAAAACTTTTTGTTAATTGAATTCATATGTAAAGTGGTATCAATTTTATTAATCTTAATATATAAAGCGTAGTTTTTTAAATATAAGAGGAAAAGCAGCATCTATGTAGTAAATCTTGTGATGTATAAATATATTCTTTTTTCAAATAAATAAATGAATAATGAAAATGATGTTTTTACTAAAAAAATACATATTTCCTGATAAATTTAAATCATTTGAATTCTTATAATTCTTTATTTTAATTGCTTTGAATTTTATTCTAAAACCATATTATTGATAAAAACAAAAGCATAGGTTGTTGTCAAATAAATAAAGAAAGAGAAATTTTAGTAAAAAAAAATATATTTTTCATTTTAGAATTTAAATAATTAAGGAAATATGAAGTGGCAAACTAGTTAGCCTTTTTGTTATATATATTATAAAAAGTATTTTATATAGTTTTAAAATTCGATCAGGCTAGACGGGTAGATCTGGAACCTAGTTTACTCGGGGTTGGAACCGAACCGAGTTGAAAAAAAAAAACTTGGTTTAACTAGTTTGATCTAGTGGGTTGACCCGATGACCCTGTTGACTAAGAAAAACCTGGTTAAAAACTCAGTTATAACTTATTAAACTTTTTTTTATTAAAAAAACATTGTTTTTATATTTTTAAAATAAACTGGACAATTTGATAATTTGGTCAAACTCAAAACTCAGATTCTGAATTGGATTGGATCTTAAAACTATGGTATTTTAAAAATACTTTTAAGAATCAATTGAGATATAATTTAAAGAAGAAACAAAGAGAAAAAAAAGAATAATTTTTTTTATGACAAACTAACTCCAATTTTTTTTTTTTTAAAAGGGAATATACTTCGATGATGACCGAATCAATCTCTTGGAATTAAGCGTCATGCATATGGAAACACGACAACTCCATAATGGGACATGAATTCATAGTAGAGCTGAGCACTGCAAAGTTACGTGGGGCATGAATTCCATATATATATATATATATATATATATATATATATGTGTGTGTTCTATGGCGATGGAAACAAGAACCAACTACTTTTTTTTTTTTGATTAATGTGAGGTGTCCGGGTTAGCTTGCGCGCATCACGACTAATCCCCACGGCCCACTGAATACCCTGCAAACCCAGCAGGCAGGTAAGGCAGCGCGGGGCTGACAGACGTGCAACGCCAGGGCTCGAACCCTGCACAGTGGCAGGAGCTAGGCTCCTGCCACCGCTAGGCCAAGCCCTTCGGTGCAAGAACCAACTACCTTATTTTGTGAGATTGTTGGGGGAGCTCTTCTTGTTGCTGTTGTTTCCATAAACAAAATACTAATCAAAAGATGCCCTCTGTTCTTAATGCCAAAAATTGGTGGAAAATTATTAAGGATAATTATTTCAAGGCTGACTATGCAACTACATAAATTCCAAAGATGACTTTTGGCTCTCAACATCTGCTTAATATCATAATCACTGAACCTGAAATTTCTTTGGAGAAGAAGGGTATGAATGTCAATTAAATTGTGAGCTCATTGCAATAATAATAATAATGAAAGACCCTACAAACTATGAAGGCCCTTTGCACTTTCAATAATCAATTATACCTTTTGTTTGGCCTCAATGTCCCACAAGTGCTCTAAATGAATGCCACTAGCAATCATTTTTTTCGTTCTTTTATTGTTCAACAAAGTACAATTAAATTTAGTACAGTATTGCAGAGCTTGAAGCATTTGCCTTTGAAAAGATGGCAGGATGTTCGGTAGAAATCTCCCACTCCACATTGTTGACTCATTTGTCAGAAGTGAGGTTCAGGGCCTCTCTCTGACTCCAAAAATCAACGACCGAACCCTTTTTTTCACGGGAAATAACGAGCAAGGCGTTTGGAATAGCTATCAACAGACAAAACGATAGAAACCTAACATTTTGACAAGAATAATTGATAATTTGATACGGATTTCCAGAAGGCATTAACTCTACTCGATCATTGTTGATTTAGAACCCGTTTGACTACGTGCTGTCATCCATGTTTTCTACGGCCAAATTAAGTAACAAATACTTGTTATTGTACATGAATCTCATAATTTATTACATTTAAAACGTAAGAAAAAAAGGAAGCAACTGGAGCTGCTTCCTGCGTATTTTATAAAAAAATCATGCTTTATTGTTCATTGAACAATTTTTTTTATAAAATAAATATAATTAATTGATTTTATTTGTATTATTCATGTAAATATAAATAATAATTTTTTTTTAAAAAATAAGTTTAAGGTAAATTAAATTTACTTATATTGTAATTTCAATTTTATTCTTAATAATATTTTATCTAATTTTGTAGTTCTTGTCGGATGAATTTTGTACGTAATAAAATTATAGATAGTTTAATAAAATAATAATTTTTTTTTACATAAAGTATGATTTATTTCATGATATAATAATAATAGTTAAATCCACAATATTTAAATTAAAAATTATTAATATTATTATATATTTTTTAAAATTATTTTATAACCTAAATTTCAAAAGCATTTTTAACCAAACACATTAAACTACTTTTTCTTTAACCTCAATTTCAACTATAGTTTTAACCATACATTTATTTTTTTAAATTAAAATACTTTTTATAAAACAACTTTTTTCAAACCACAATCATGACAATTACAGCAATACCAAACACACTCTTGCATAATTTAACCATTCAATCTAATTGGCCACAGAATGCTTGGACAACAAGAGAAGAGCTGCTCAAAACACCAGGCTACGACTATGGATGAGAAGATAACATCCATGACCTGATAACTACTGCCGCCTCCTTGCATTATCCATAAAGTCTATTTTGCAGAACCGTTGGGTACTTCGATGGACTTTCCGGTTTGGTTCAGCTCATCCCATGCCTCAACCCATGTGACCATTGCATCTGCTAGCTTGATAAAGTATTCATCAACTTTACCAAGTTTTGCCCTAACTTGCTTGGAGAGTTCAATATAGCACTTCTGAACAGTGGTGCAGTCCTTCGGAAGGATAGCAGACTGGAAAAATGGGATCAGTTCTTCTTGCCAATAGATTCCTTTGTATTCTTTCTTCAGGTTCACAAATGGGTTGCTTGCTTTGCTATGCCAGATGTAAGGCAATCCTGTCTTGACTCCCCAGCCCATGTGGTCGCAAACAACCTACAAGATTAGTAAAACATCTCTTATTTTAGCTGCAACAGATATGAAATTTGCTGGTCATAGAACAAGCTGATTTAAAGCCTAAAGAATGTACATCACTGGACAGTGATAAACACAGAGAGAGAAAGGAAGTGCTCTGTAAGAAGGGTAGAAACCTTGGTGCACCAGCCAGCCCACATATCATCATAGCGTCCAATTGGCTGACCATCACCCATGAGACCAAAGTACATTGCAGGACCAATCAACTCACGGTTAAATGCCAGATTCATGCCACACATTGGAAAGAGGGTTCCTTTTGGAATTGTCATAACGGCATCTACAAACCTGACAAACACGTGGAAAGTTAATATTTCTGTTAAATGAACATACAAAAATGACCAAGAGGTGCATTAAGGAACTTCCTACCGAGTGTTCTTCTCAAGAGGCTTGACAAGCTGGGTGGGAGCATCGTAATCTGGGATGTTGAGCCAAAGGCCATGAGATACAGCAGTGGGGACACCCTCGCGAAGGCTGAATGGATACCCACGAACAAAATCTGTACCCTCTCGGTATGGGTCATATAGGGTGTTGAAGACAAATGGAGTGGATGGAGCCAGAAGGTTCTTTATGTGCTGCTGAAGAGCATTAATTTCTTTACCAGATGGATCTTTAGCCACCTGCAATCGCATAAAGGATGTTCAACTTTGGATCTCGCCTCCAATTTCAAATTTTAAAGCACATATCTTCAGTATGCAGATCTCTCTATGCATAATGCATCCTTCTAAGATTTGAAAACTTAAAAGATATGGATAAATATTGGTGAGAAAGCAGATTGGTGCAGGGTTAATAAGCATGAATAAATACAAAAGAAAATTGTTGAAAGTCATACATATAGCAAGAGTGTCTTCTATTGTGAAGTTTTAAGCTTCTCGTTTGACAACATGATATGATATATTTCAGTGCACAAACTAAAGGTCGAAAATAATGAACTAGTAGCAAAGCTAGAATATCATTTGTTAATGCTGAACTTAAAACCATAAAGAATTCTCAGCTTGTGCAAACAACAGATCTAGATGACGAGATAAGACATGTTAAATGTAAGAGAAACACGAAATGATTTAAGATTGGGTTGCATTCTGATGGGTTGGTCTGTCAGCATTGAAAAAGATCAATATACTAATCAAAAGCCGGTCTGTTATTATTCCATGAGAAGATTGCTACTAGCTATAAACAAGAAAACAGATCCCAAGTCCAATTTGAACATGCATAAAGATCCAAAATTGTACCCAAAAATACAAATGCATTCAAGAAGAAGAAAAGAAGAAGGAAGAATTATGGTACAAGACTTACAAAGCAATCATCATCAATAGTGAAGATGTACTTCTTCTTAGAAACCAAGTAACCAAAGCACCTGCAGGCAGAATCCTTGAAGGAAATGCAAGAGGCTTTAGGACCCAAAATCCTATTAATATCATTCCTATTATAAATCTCATAATCAAAGCCTCCTGGGACTTTGATGATTTTTGAAGGGTCACCATCTTGGACTATGATAAGATGGTATGGTTGAAAGAATGGCCTCCACATCTCCAAGAAATCAAGGTTTCTGATTGTCGGGATTACAATATCAAGCTCATCTTTCAAAAGAAGTGTCGGAGAGGCACTGGTCTCAGCCATTGTTGCACAATAGTGAGAGAGGAAGAGTGGACAGATTTGGCGTTTTTCTTATGCTTATGACCTTGTACTTGCAGATAGAGAGAGAGAGCGAACAGCGTAGATATAGTGCGAGTTTAGAATTGTGTAGGCTGTTATTTTCAAAATATTTTTATTTAAAAATATATTAAAATATTTTTTTTACTTTTTAATATTAAAATATTAAAATTATTAGAAAATATTAAAACAAATCTCTTTTTTTTTAAAGAAAATTATATTTTTAAAATATATTCAAATACAATAAAAAAACATATTTCCAAACAAACATCGGTTAAGAATCATGATAAAAATATGAAGTTTTTATATATATTCTGGATTTTTCAATAATTAATGTTTCAAATAAATTTTTATTTTTATTTTATATATATATATTTTATCATCAACACTTAAATATATAACTATAATATTAACACCTAAATATTTATAATAAATATCATTTAATTTTATTTAGATATTATTTTTTATGTTTTTTCATAATCCAACAATAAATGGTATCCTATATATATACATTGTGATCTGGCTTAACAAGTGTTTTAAGAGCATTAAATAGCTTTTGCGTTTTAAAAATCTAAAATTCAATCGTCTTTATATTTAAACAAGGCTCAATTTTAATTTTATTCAAAAATTTATATTTGATTTAAATTTTGATCATATGAACACTGTATAATTTAATATCTATATTCAACCAAAATAAAAATATTATATATTGTGTTAGAAAAAAGTGTGATTATTTCAATAACATATTGTACTTTAGCTTCTTTTTTTTTCATTTTTTCATTTTTAAATTTTACTTTAGAAAAAATGTGTTAAATATTCAACATATTCTAAAATCTTTTGTTTTCTTTATGCAAGTATGTTAAATTATTTATCTTTAGAATAACTTATTATTTCATTATCCTTGTTTTTAATTTTTTTATTTAAAAAAATTATATTAAATGTTTGTTTATTTGAAGACAAATGCATCTTCTAATATGTTGATGCTAATTAATTATGCTAACATATATGTTAATATAATATTTTTTTTGTTGATAATATTAGCGTACATGTTAATGTGATATTTTCTTCTATGTTAGCTAAATTTTATGTCAAAAACAACTATATTAATGTGTATCCCAATTCTTGATTCAAGTTGACTTATCTAACTCGTGATCCAGTCGTTTTACCCAACCACATCATGAACACAAAATCATTAATGTAGAGATAACAATAATTAACTAGGGTTACAGCTTTAAAAATCACCATAATCATATTTGAAATAAAAACTAATAATCATAGCCTTTGATTATCCATTCAATTAAAAATTAACCATTTATATTTATATTTTTAAAGAAACCTAAGCAGATAAATGAATTTATAAAATTCAAATAATACCATAGCAGCACAAACATTGATAATAAAAAATATAATAATAACAATAATCAAATAGGTTTATATATAAAAACAACTTATTATACAAAATATATGTTAATTTATAATAATAACCAATATGAAAAACAAACATAAGTCAAGCCTTAATATCATGGTAAAATTTTAAAAATAAGTATTATTGAAGCATGAAATGAATTGTTAATTATTTATGATATAATTGTAATATTTTAATATTTATAACAAACATTTATAGAAATAAATGTTGTTCTTTTAGTTCAATAATTATGAAAATCATAATCATAATCTTAACCATAACCAAACCAATCATTCAATTGTTAACCATAACTATTTTAAAAAACTAAAATACTTCATTGTTTTTTGTTTTTTGTTTTTATATAATTAACCATCAATTTTGATCACTATTGTTATTTCTATGAGATGTTTGAGAGTGTATTAATGATTATTTTTTAAAGTGTTTTTTATTTAAAAATATATTAAAATAATATATATTATTTTTTTAAAAAATTATTTTTGACATCAATTATTAAAAATATTTTTAATTTTCATAAAACATCATTTGTAACGCAATTTCAAACAATGCTACATTTCAATGCAAATAGTTCTATGACACGACGAAAAGATTGATGTCTTCTCCCAAGTGTAGGAGTGTCGAAGTAATAAATAACCCGGCAAGACCGGGGTCGAACCACAGGGAGGTTAATTGTACAAATTATAAACAACAATTATAAAACAACAATAACAACAACAACAATAGTAATAATAATAATAACAATAACAATAATAATAATAATAATAATAATAATAATAATAATAATA